CCCGCCTCCTCCACAGTCCGGCTGGCCGTCAGGTTGTTGCTGGGAGCCAGGACACACACGGCGTCAGGGGTCCGGGGAACGGCAGCGTGCACGACCTCCTTCCTCAGCTGGTTGGCACACGCCCCCGGGGTGGACATCACGCCAAAGGAGAAGCGGCCCTCCGGCATGGCGACAATCCCGTCTGCAACGGAGCGCAGATGGGAGTCTCCTACAAGAAGAACAAACTGGGAGAGACAAAAGAGAGGCTTGAAGTTAGAACAGGAGCCTCCACAGGTGAAGCCTTCATACCCAGATGTTCCTGATCAGGGACTGGGGCTGCAGGGAGCTGGAGCCTTTCCACAGCATCCTCCCTGGGAGGCTCTGTGCTGCACAGGGAGGCCTCCTGGAACCACAGCAGTCAGTGATGTGGTGATTGTGAGAGTCAGGACCTTTAAGTACCTGCTTGTCTGGGTGAGGAGGAGGGAGGACCAGCTTGTGGCTCCGTCCGGTCACCCTGCTGGTTGGCCACCTGCGCACCTTGTGACGCCACCCCGTCCCATCTGAAAAGAGGAGACAAACATGAAGAGAGCAGTGCAACAGCAGACAGCATTTCTGAAGCTCCCACAGCCTTCCTTTAAAACAGTCAAAGTACGTACGTGCGCTGGTCCCAGAGAGCTTATGACGCCCAACCAGCTCCGTCCCTGGCACTCCTGGACGCTGGAGGTAAAGGGAAAACTGTGAACATTCAGCTCCAGAAAACAAAAGAGTAGTGATGGAACTTTCTAAGCATTTTTACCTGAGCGATGTCGACATCCAGCTTCCGAAACCGTTCCTTGGCGGCCCGGGCCCTCTTACTTTTCCTGGGCATCCTGCAGAGCAAAAGGAAGAGGACAAAAGGAGGGGGAGGAGAGGCAGCAAATGCAAAGCAAAACAGGCAGCAAGAACAACAAATGCAATTTTTTTTATTTTTTTTTTATTTTTATTTTTTTTGTAGTGAGATGAAACTGGAAATGTGTATAGGTGCTCTGTGTATAACCGAGAGTGTGTGTGTGTGTGTGTGTGTGTGTGTGTGTGTGTGTGTGTAGTGCAAATTTTGTGTCCTGTAGTAGGTGTGTGGAAGTGTGGTGTAAGTATGTGTGCAGCTAAATGTTTAGGTTGTGGGTTTAGAAAAGGTGAATATGTACTGAGACAGTATGAATCAAAGTCAGTAGCTGATATGGATACAAGTGTCTGGTGAGGAATGCCGAGCAAGGTCGATCCGAAGATGAAGGGCTGAAAGAGCAGGGAAACAACACAATTAGTACTATGGCAATCCTTAACATGAGAAAAATATAAAAAGAGTACAATATAGGACTGATGTAGTATTACTTCATATTAAATAAAATAAAACAAAGTATAAATTTCTTCAAGGAAAATTCCCAATAACTATGTTGCATAACCACCCACAAACCAAAATATGAAAAAATGTAAAGCTTAATACTTACTTTGTGTCTGACAAGCAAAATCCAAGCACTGAAAACAGTCTAAAAAAAAAAAAAACATAAATAATATTAACAACACAGGACTTAAATATATATATATATATACACATGTGTAAGCTACTGACATAAAAAGCAAATCCCCTGTTCTGGTCTGAGACCTGGGGCCATGACAAAGCAACTATCAGCTAGCACTCAGCCACAGCAAAAATAGAATTATTACCCCCTTAATATGTCATAAACAGCATAGCAAAAACAAAAAAAGCTTTATGCAAAGGTTTCAGGTCAGAACATATTAGACACAAGCTATCAATGTAAGATTGTAGCATCCAATACAAAGAATGGGGCAGGTCAAAAGACTGTGCTAACAACAAGCTAAATTAACCTCACACAGACTATAGACTGATGGAGGCATAAAAAAGCATTTTATGAAAAAACTCCGCCATTTTATTCCATCTCGGGCATTAAGCGGCATGCAACTGCCTTAATGCAAAGCAATCTGGAAAACTCAAAAGCCCAATATAGTCAACAAAATGAATGACCTTGCCCGTAACCTTTAGCTAGCAGCGGACGTCCAAAGATAAATAAACGACACACCAACGTCATTAAAATCAGTTAGATAACAATATAAGATTTAAAATGTTATGTCAGTATATAAAAAAAACTAAAACAAGCCGTTTTGGATGATAGAGAGTCGTTCTTAAAACACCAAGTCTGATAGAAAAAACGATAGCATGTTAGCTAGCGATGACGCAGCACCTTATTAACATATGAAAACGGCAATTTACATTTAAAAATAATGGCAATAAATCCACGCTTTCAACGGTAAAGAGTCAGTCGATTATTTTCTGACACATGATGTTAC